AGAAGTTAAGAAAATAACTCACAACTTTAATAATCAACAAGCTTCAAGAGCAACACCAAGAATGGAAGTTTAGCTCCTCATTTGGAGACTAAACATAGCTAGAAAAATATAAAGAAATGCTATTCTAAACTGAGCTAAAGAGTATGGAAGAAGGGATTATGAAATGTGAAGGAAAATGAGGCTATTTATAGGTGTTTTCAACACCTAATGCCGGATACCTGGCCGGGTATTTTGACATACCCGACCGGGTATTTACCAAATCAAATATTTTCCCATGTTTTTGTGTCTTCTGCACGTTCTTTGGTCCGAAATCACAGAATACCCGACCGGGTATTTGCTAATTTTGTAGCAATTTCCTTTGTCACTTCATACCCGGCCGGGTAAAGTCCATACCCGACCGGGTTTTGCACAAAACTCAGGTTTCTTCATCCTTTTTGCTTCCAAACCTATCCTAAACTTATAGCTCAACTAACTACAACTTACAACAAACAATAAAATGCTAAAAATACGATTACAATCAAATGCAAACTAGCAACTATAAACTTACACAAAACTAGTAAATAAACATTACAAACAATAATAAAAATGTATACTTAGGCACTAACAACTAGTTCCCATCAAACACCCCCACACTTGAACCTTTACTCGTCTCGAGTAAATTAAAACCTGCCCATGAAGTTTTCAAAACCACAAAAGTAGCAGAACAACCATCCAACATTTTCTTCTTTTTTTTTTTGATTATCTTCTGCATAAATAGATATTTTTCTCTCATTCTCTCATTTTGCCTAGGAGCCTTTTCAGGTTTTCATCCTAGCCTCTCTTTTTATTTTTTTCATTTATCACAACTCACTCATTTTAGCCACTTTTGCTTAGATTGCCCATTTTTTTCTGGGTTTTCAACCTAACTAGCATTCTTTTTTTTCTTTTATTGTTTTTTTTTGCACTTTTTTTTTGTTGATGAAAAATAATGCAAGTTACAAGGTTAAAAAAAAATGAGTACATACAAAATGAGTGCCTCCCCTACACTTTTTTTCGAAACACTGTCCCTAGTGTTTGGAACCATGATTGTCGATGTACCCTCCATAACCGCCATCGCCACCAAGACCATGTTCACCGGAGCTAGAACCTCTAAATTGCCCTAACATGAGGGATAATACCACGTCGGGTGTTGTACTAGGTTGGGCATGTTGGAGAAGTACCCTTGGTGGTCGAAGTCATGTGTTCTTTTTGGTGCTTTTTTTTTCTCGTTTTTATTTTTTTGTGAATTCCAAACTTGAGCTTGGGGGGTTAGGGAATTCGGTTTGTAGGGTATTTGGGGGATTTAATGGGTTTTGTGTGTGTGGGTTTGGAATGTAGGGTGAGGGGAAAAAGAAATGGCATTTTTTTTTTGAGGTTTTGGGATCGGAGAGGATGGTGTGGATAAGAAGAATGTGGAGTTAATTTGGATGTTTTGGTTGAGATTGGAGTGGTTTGAAGCTTGGATGATTGTCAATGGAGGTTGAGGGCTTGAGTTTGGGACATTAGGGAAGCAAATGGGTGTTTTGTGGGCTGATTTAGGACCAAAACGGACTGAAATCTCGATTACCCGGCCGGGTTTTAGTAATACCCGAATGGGTATGTTGTTTTTTCGCTTGGCAGAACGTTTTTAGGCTGTTTTGGTCAAAAACCCGGCCGGGTTTTTGTAATACCCCGGTCGGGTATTAGGCTATTTTTTGATTTTTTCAGCTTTTTTTTTTTACCCGGTGGCTGTGTTGCCCGGGTATAATCCTTTTGTGCTGTTACCCGACCGGGTGTGGGATATACCCGGGCGGGTTTTTCCTCCCAGATTTTTTTTTGAAAGGTGTAAAGATAAAATAAAACAAGTAAACATACCTTGCTTGGGTTGCCTCCCAAGAAGCGCCTTATTTAACGTCGTGGCACGACGCCATCATTGTGTTCAGTCGTTCAAACTGGGATCATGATAGTTTATCTTCGCCACATTTTCACTCCTAGGACTTCCATAGGAATGCTTGATTTTCTGACCCTTTATTTTGACCTTTCCAGGATCAAATATCCAGATTTCTATCGCTTCATATTGTGAGAGTGTTGGTCCATGATTTTCATTAAGCATGGTCAATGGAAGGGGATTTGATCCGGGTGGTATAAGAGGGAGTATGAAATATTTGTGTAATCCCACCGTTATTCCTTGCTTATTTGTGAACAAAGAGAAGTCTAAATTATACTCACAATTGCTGAAGATTTCATAGATATCTTTGTCCTTCTCCACCCTTTGTGTTTCCCTTAGAGCCTCAGGAAATGGTGGCATGATCTCAAGAATGGCCGGTGGTTGAGTTGAGTTTTGAGGTTCCTCCTCCGGTTGAGCTTTTTCCGTAAGCTCCTCTTCTTCCTCCTCCTCGCCCATGTGGTTCACAATGCTTGGCATTTGTTTCAACTGATTGTCCAAGTTCTGTTCGTTGGACACTGCTTCTTGCGAGCATTGTGACATATTTTGTTGCAAATTTGTCACATTGATAGTGAGAGCTCGGATCATGTCTTCAGTGGACATGCTGGAATAAGAACATGAGTATGGGCTATATGTGTTGGAGAATGAATCATACCTCTCTTGGAAACCAACATCATTCCTTTGTTCAAAGAATTCTTCTCGAAGCTCTGGGCAAAAGTCCGTAAGATGCCTTTGTGACATGCAAATGTTGCATGTATGTATATCTTGAGATTTTGAACATGAGATAAACTTCTTTATTAGAGAAGTCAAGTCGGAAATTTGACTCTCTAGGGATGATGTGTTGGTATCCATTTACTCATGCAAGCTCAGAAAATAGAAAAGTAAGATTTTTCTTTATATATATTTTTTATTTTTATAATTTTTTTTATGAGATAAAATAAAAAGAAAAATAATTGCCTGTCCCCGACAACGGCGCCAAATTTGACGAGCACTTTGTCACGGTGCGTCAAAATAAATTCAATACTAAACACTTATACGTAGTATAGCGTAGTAGAGTTCGTATCCACAGGGAAAGGAATATTTCTCTTTTTATGATACTTAGTAAAATGGGGGATTTGGATTGAGTGATTTAATTTAATTAAGAACTAAGATGAACAACCTATATGTGTTTAATTCAAAGATAAAAAGGACTTGGCATTGCTACTTTCCACTTGTTGATATATTTTAGTCGATCATTGTTATATCTATAACTTATTCCCTCTCGAATACTCAATCGGGGAGTATATCCACTTCATCGAGGGTAGTTACTAACAACGACCGTTCATTAATAACCCTTACTATTAATCAAATATAGAACAACGCCTTATACCGATTTAATAGTAGCATTTAATCTTTCTAACTCCTTGATGAAATCAATTGAGATTGATAACCTCAACACAACGGTTTCGGTTTAACCAACAAAATTAATCCCTCTTAAGTTTATTAACCACGACCGTGCATTAATAAACCGAAGTTACTTACTTGTGAAACCATCAACGATTAACCATCGGTTCGTTGATCGTTTCTAGTAATAATTAATATATGAAACAAAACTAGTTGATCCTTTAAGTAATGTTCAAAATATTAATATGAAATATGAGTAGGAATCAATTAATATTCAAGGAAGAATATTATTAAAGAAGATGAATCCTACTATAATTAATATCAAGATGTTAACTAATTGTCATCTTAGCAACACTCCCCAACATTAATTTAGAGGAAGAAAATACCATTCTAACTAATATCGAGATGTTAACTAATTGTCATCTTAGCAACACTCCCCAACATTAATATAGAGATGATATTAAGGAAAGAACTATTAATTAATATTCAAGGAAAGAAGTTAAGAAAATAACTCACAACTTTAATAATCAACAAGCTTCAAGAGCAACACCAAGAATGGAAGTTTAGCTCCTCATTTGGAGACTAAACATAGCTAGAAAAATATAAAGAAATGCTATTCTAAACTGAGCTAAAGAGTATGGAAGAAGGGATTATGAAATGTGAAGGAAAATGAGGCTATTTATAGGTGTTTTCAACACCTAATGCCGGATATCTGGCCGGGTATTTTGACATACCCGACCGGGTATTTACCAAATCAAATATTTTCCCATGTTTTTGTGTCTTCTGCACGTTCTTTGGTCCGAAATCACAGAATACCCGACCGGGTATATGGAATACCCGACCGGGTATTTGCTAATTTTGTAGCAATTTCCTTTGTCACTTCATACCCGGCCGGGTAAAGTCCATACCCGACCGGGTTTTGCACAAAACTCAGGTTTCTTCATCCTTTTTGATTCCAAACCTATCCTAAACTTATAGCTCAACTAACTACAACTTACAACAAACAATAAAATGCTAAAAATACGATTACAATCAAATGCAAACTAGCAACTATAAACTTACACAAAACTAGTAAATAAACATTACAAACAATAATAAAAATGTATACTTAGGCACTAACAACTAGTGCCCATCATCGATCCCTCTCATCCTTCTCTTACCGGATATGTCTAAATTACGTAAATAATTGGACACAATGCATCTTACAATGAAAAAAGCCAACTTGTTAAAATGAGTGTCACGTCAGCGGTGACCGGGATTAGAGGGTTCTTAATAGGTCGTTATGCTCCATCTGCTCGTTTTTTAAAAATAAAGATATGTTGGTGACACTTTTATGAGTAGATGACTTTATGTAACGATTTTTGGATAATTGAATGCCGTATTTAACTCTTCTCTCAATATATTACTACCTCTATCCCAATTTGTTTTTCAAACTCAATATTTTTTGGTCAATCAATGTTGAAGTTAAATCCTTTCTATTCATAAATAATTCAATTTTAATAAATAAAATTTACCACCTGATATCTATATAATATATATATATAAAGTTGTAAAAGCCAAATTAAAATTTAATTAAAAAAGGTGACATTTGCAACTCAATTTGACGGAAGTATGATTGAGGGAGTAAATACATTGAAAAGGAGGGAGTGCATTAGTGACTTACGACTTTTACCACCTGACACTCTTTCCTCCTCACTTATACTTGGTATACTAGTTGCTACCGCCATTATTATTCTTTCTTCTCTTTAATTAACCCCCACCTTCCTCGCCAGGAGTAATTTCTGCCACTTCTCCTTTTTCGATTTTGTTTGCCACCACAAATTCCTCCATTCTCATCTTCATCGACTAATTTCATGCTCATCATCATAATTTATATGCGTCTGATTTCCCGACTGTTACTCTCAATACATAATTAATTACCCTACCATGCACCTTACTATAAACAATGCAATGCCCCCACGACCATCACATGTCTAAAAACTAGCTTCTCTCTTTTTTTTCTTGGTTGTGTTTAAGAAAGAACCCTCAGCTCAGTTGTTTATTTGTTTCTGTCTCCGTGTGATGTTTGGTTTGAGGAGTAGCTGCTGCCTTTAATTCTAGTTCTCAGTGTTGTTTGTTTTAAGTTATTGGTAAAAAAGATCGATGGAGTTGGGAGGTGGCGGCGGTGTCTCTAGCGGCAGTGGCGGCGCCAGTGCTGACCACCACCATGATTCTTCCGACCGTAACCGGGCGAACAAGAAGCGTTACCACCGTCACACTGCCCAGCAAATCCAGAGGCTTGAATCGTAAGTTCAATTTTTACTACTGTACTGTGCATATATGATTTTACTGTGTCTTTTGCACGTTAGTAAGTATCTCAGATGGTTTTATTTATTTTTTGCTGTTTTGACGAAATGAAAAAGGATTTTCAAAGAGTACCCACATCCAGACGAGAAGATAAGATTACAGTTAAGCAGAGAGTTGGGTCTGGCTCCTCGTCAGATCAAGTTTTGGTTCCAGAATAGGAGGACCCAAATGAAGGTATACTATACGCGCGTACTATATATACTCCGTATTTATTACTAAGTACATACTAAACCTAATTTGTGATTGATTTTTAATTTGCACTTAGAAAGAAAACTACTCCGTACTTTTTAGTTAAATTAATTTTGAAATTTGTAGTAGTGGTCTTGATGTGCTTCTGAGTAATTACAGTCCCACAATATTTTTTTCATGCTAATTAAGCTTTAAAAGTAAGAAGTTTAAACACAGAAAATATTGTTGTTATTCTCTTGTTGAGGTTGTGCAAGAGCAGAGAAAATGACATAACTTTAATTCTGTTTATTTTTAAAGAGTGTGAACTTTTTTTGAATTGAATAACTAAATCAAGAAAAAGTGACAATGTGATGAATGTCAAGTGGGGCACGTGCGTGAGCATGCGATGAAACTTGAAATGCTTTGAGAAAAAAATAATTTCAATCTTAAATGCAAATATCAATATGCATGTTGAAGTCTTTCTATATTGCATTCTGATGATTTTTAGAATTTAAAAATGTTTTTTGAACTAAATAAAATATCATTTACTTGGGATATTTGTATACGAGCAAACAACAATGCAAGGGTTTTGCTCTCTGCAACCCCCAAAAAGTCACCATCATAAATTAATTACTTTATCCCATAATAACATTCCATCTACTTCATCAACTTTATTAAGAAATGATAAACTTTCAAATTAAGAAGTTGAAAATATATGATTGTTTTCTTGTTGAGATCTGTGCAAGAGTAAAGAAAAATAATAAAACCTATAACTTACTTATGTTTTAATTACTCCGTATATAAGAAAGTGTAAATCATAAACCTCACAAAATATTTGCGAGTGTATGAATTAGTTTTGAATAAAAATTATCCTAAATTGAACTACAAAATGCACAAGTAAACGTGCTTATATTTTATTCTCAAAGTGAGGCTTATTATTTGGTTCTATTTGAAGAGTAAAGCTTCATGTGCTAATATTGAATGATAAATATTATAGAAAAAAATAATGGTAATCCTAATTATGCTCTTTACTTAATTATATATCTTCTAATCTTGTTTACGATTTTTCTAATTTTTTTGCATGAAAATATAGTGAGGCAAATTATTTTGAAAATGGGTGTGTCAGTGTGTGAACCTTAAATTGGTTAGAGGAAAGAATATATATTTCAAATCTTAAATTCAATTCATAAGGCGTAGAAGTCTTTTCATAGTGCACTGTGATGACTTTTAGAATTAAAAACCAGTTACTGAACAGAATCAAACTATCATTTCCTTGTGATTAAATTATTATATTACATTAAAAAGGAAAAAAGAAAATTGACTATAATCCAAATAAGTCACTGTCAAAAATCAATTAATTTATCTCGTAATAACATTCCATCTACTTCATCGCCATTATTATGAAAAGAAAAAACTCCCCTACCTTTCCTCACAATGATGGTAAGTGGTAATTCATTTTCTTGATTAGGTTAGATACGTAATTAGCTAATGTATGGCCGTCTCTTGTCATTTAGGCACAACATGAACGGGCGGATAATAGCACACTCCGGGCATTAAACGACAAAATCAGGTGCGAAAACATTGCAATCAGAGAGGCTCTCAAGAACGTCATCTGCCCGTCGTGTGGCGGCCCGCCGGTCAGGGAAGACCCTTACTTCGACGAGCACAAATTGAGGATGGAAAATTTGGCTTTAAAAGAAGAGGTTTATATATTGACTTACCAAAATCATCTTCAAAACTAAAAAAATCCTTAAATATTGGGGAGTAGTACATAGTACTCATTAGGAATTTGACGTTGCAATTAATTCTTGTGCTTGATATTTGATTAGAGGTAGATTTACCCTTAAGATACCATACCTTTGTGCACATGCACCAATCAGAATGATGTAGTTGAATTATTTAAATTTAAATTAAAAATGATGTTATGATTTGAACCAATCAAGTGAGTGGTAGGTACGTTACCCCATTTTTAAATGGGTATCAGAGTTGTTTGATTAGACTTTGGGCTACATTTTCAAAATCATTAATGGGTAAACTCTATTCAGCATATAATCATTTGACCGAACACCTCATTCCTTTACGAATTTAAAAGTTTCTCAATATGGGATACTGAAACATACACAAAGTTCAAAAATAGGACTAATTAAATGTGTTTTATTTTTTAAATAGGATTTACTAAATCCTACCAAAAAGGATAAGTTGATTAAAACATTTCAAAATAGGATTGAATGAGTGCTATGTTGAGAATAAAACAAAGACAATCCTATTTATGAACTTAATCTTTATTTTAGTCATATTTAATTAGGGAATTCTTTCAATAGATCAATGGGGAGCATGATCATGAAAATGAAGTGTAAAATCCGATATAACTCAAAAATGGAATGGAAAGTCAATCCCCTTGTTATTAAGCTTAAGGAAATGCCCCCTTGGAAAGAAAGAACATAGGGAGGCCAATATCACATGTGTTTCTTTCGTGTTTGTAAATTTTTGTACTAGATATTAATTAATTAACTATGTGTTTCTTTGGTGTTTGTAAATTTTTGGATGAATATAGCTTGATAAGGTGTCTAGTATAGCTGCAAAGTACATAGGGAGGCCAATATCACAGCTCCCACCAGTTCAGCCTATCCATCTATCCTCACTAGACTTGTCCATGTCTACTTACGGTGGCCATCATGGAATAATGCACGGTGGCCCTTCCCTTGACTTAGACCTCTTGCCGGGCAGTAACCATCCGCCGATGGCTGTGGCGGGCATCTCTGACAGTACGGCGGCTCCTCCCTTCCCTCCACTAATGAGCCTGTCGGACATGGACCGATCCCTCATGACCGATGTCGCTGGGAATGCGATGGATGAACTGATTAGGCTGTCACATGGCAACGAGCCTTTTTGGACCAAGTCAACGGATGGCGGGAGAGAGATTCTTGATATTGAGAACTATGAAAGGGTTTTCCCGCGAGCGAGTAACCATATTCACTGCATGAAGAACTCCAACATCAGGATCGAGGCTTCTCGTGATTCGGGTGTTGTCATTATGAATGCTCTTTCTTTGGTTGACATGTTTATGGATGCGGTTAGCTCTTCTATCTACTATTACTGCGTATTTAATTACACTATTTAATACTACCTTTCTTGGTCCCTTTTTATTTATCAACTTTGACTTTTCCAGTCAAGGATGATAATCTTTGATCCATTATATTAATTAAAATATTTATGTAAAAGTTAATAAATCTTCTCTTTCATATAACTTTCATATTATCAATATTACCGTGTATAAATATATAACCGGTCAAAGTTGAACAACTTTGACTTGAAAAATAATGTTTGGCTAAATAAAAAGGGACGAAGGTAGTATTCCATCCGCCCAAAAATTCTTTGCATGCCTCTTGAAAAAATGTGAATAAAGTTGAAAACTCCAAATGTATACTTTTGCTTGAGTAAGGAAAATGTGAAAGAATATTAGTTGTACAAACCCTTTGGGACATCTCAAAATGGGTTACACGAAGATCCATGTAAATAAGTAACATAAGAGAGATAGATAATATGCACCATTGTCTCCTCATGTAGACAATGGGTGGAATAAAGTCAATGTACAGAGTTATTGCAGAAGTATTTGGAAAAATTGACCATTAAGTCAAATAGATCATCTCTAATGTTTTATGTACAAATGTGATCGATACGACAGAAACAGACACAAAAAAACACATTTATGATATTTCTTTCTTTTTCACGCTCTTCTGAGTTTTGGGTAAGTTTTCTAAATAATGTCAATATCTAGACATTGTGCTTCACATTGTCAATAAAAGTTTATCGAAAACAAATATGACTAATCCTATAAGGAGAGAAATGTTGCACACATTCATTTTTATGTGTCCATCTCTCACATTCGATGTATGCATCTTCCACAATTTGCATTGGAAATGCTCTAATATATACTTGAAAGTCAAATAAGAAAGTTTTGATATAGCAGGGAATTTATGCATGTGCTCATTAACTATTTTGATCTCCTATTTATACATGTGCGTTGTAAATAATACTGATTTAATGCGTTACCTTTCGCAGAACGATTACATTAATTGAATGTTGTCTACTTGAATAAATGAATTATGTTTTTAGAAAGGTCTTTTTTTCTAACAATTTATTGTAATATATATCATACATATGCATAAGTTATGAAACTAAATCGTCATTTTGCATAATTGCTATCATTATTATTACTTCTTAGTATGGTCATAGCGAAATGTTGCAGAATAAATGGGTGGAATTATTTCCCACCATTGTCTCCAAGGCCGCAACACTTGAAGTAATATCATCTTCTGGAGTATTAGGCAGCAGAAGTGGAACATTGCAATTGGTGAGCGCGGAAACGAAATTTTCAAAAAATAAAAAGAATAATAATTAATTTTTGTGATGAACTTATTTAATTTTAAAATTTTCTTTTTTGGGGGAGGTAGATGTACGGAGAATTGCAGGTGCTGTCACCTTTGGTTCCTACACGACAACTTTATTTCTTAAGGTTTTGCCAGCAAATCGAGCAAGGGACATGGGCAATAGTTGATGTTTCTTATGATAATGGTAATATTCCTCATCAAGAAACTTACCATTCTTCTTCTTGCAAAGTACATCGCCTCCCTTCTGGATGCTTGATTCAAGACTTGCCCAATGGCTATTCCAATGTAAGTACTAATAATAAATTGTGGGTTTTCGAGAATGTCGTTACGTACTATTGTTCGTGTCGTTTTTTATTTATTTATATAATTTGTTTGTCTTGCGAGAACATATACAGGTGACATGGGTGGAACATGTGGAGGTGGAAGACAAGGTTTTAGTTCATAAACTGTATAGAGATGTTATCCAATGTGGAATGGCTTTTGGTGCAGAAAGATGGCTTGCTGTGCTTCAGAGAATGTGTGAGAGATTTGTTTGCCTAATGGTCAGTGGCAATTCCACCCGTGACCTTGGAGGAGGTGTGTTTTTATAATTTCATCCACCGTACCCATGTCTGTTATTAGAAAAAAAAAATATAATGTTGGAAACAATATTATATAGCTAGGTAACTGCATTAGGCAACAGCCTTGGCAGTTGGCTAGGGGTGGGCATGATTGGTTAACCGCACTTTGATTAACCAATTTTCGGTTAACCGTGATGTTGGTTAATATATTCTTAATGTCATTATCCGTACCGTAACATTGGTTAACCGATACTCGGTTAACCAAACTATCGGTTAACCACTAATTGGTTAACCAAAAACCATGAAAAGGAAAAGAATAAAGTCATCAAACTACTCCGTATTAAACATTTGATTTGTTAAAAAATACATAACCACTTCAAGATTAAATTAGAAGTATTGAATTAGAGTTGGCACAACAATTAATGACAAAAAATTGGATTAGGTAGTATTGAATTCGCAAAATTAATGGCGATTGTGAAACACTAACTATGGTCAAATATGCTATATATATATGAGGCCAAAATGAGATGAATGAATTGGAACGAATATAAAGTACTCTTTTAGTCTCCTGCTCCGTAATTATTTGCCTCATTTTCCCTCTATATATAGGTCATTACAACATATTTGTCACATACCAAATTTGATCATATGATATGCAATGGTCACGCTTACAAGCTCATAATAATACTTTAATGTCGCACTCAGTGGAATTGAACATGTTAGGTTGTCTTCGAAATAATTCCTTTAGTTAATTCTATATATAATTCCTTTCAAAATCGCATTGTCATATCATTCTCTATCGTAAAATTGGACATTTGAATTGATATGTGTAGTTGCTTCTTTCAAATATACAATTTCTACGATTAATAATTAACCACGACGTGATTGAATTTGCTTGAAATTGATTAGCTAGAGAAATGGTGTAGTTAATGAAGGGTTTTACTAAATTAATATGGCCCAAAATGGCAGTGATCCCATCAGCAGAAGGGAAGAGAAGTATGATGAAGCTAGCACAAAGAATGGTGAGCAGCTTCTGTGCTAGTGTGAATCCATCCAACGGTCACCATTGGACGACGCAGTCCGGGGCCAACGAGTTCGAGATACACGCCACCCTGCAGAAGAGCACCGACCACGGCCAGCCAAATGGCGTCGTCATCAGTGCCGCCACCACCATTTGGCTCCCAATTCCTCCCCAAACTGTGTTCGATTTCTTTAGGGATGAGAGGACTCGACCCCAGGTCTGACTTACTTTCATGGTTTTTATTTTTTCTGTGACATGCTGAGCAATTTAATTTAATACTTCCCTTTTCATTTAGTCATATTTGAATTTTCAAATCACCGATGTCAAACTTTTAGTATAATAAACTTATATACAGAAATATTTATGATATGAAAATGTCATTCGTTAGAATCATCGTCATCCTCATCGTTTTTCTTTTTTTTTTGCTGAATTTTACAGTGGGATGTTCTTTCCAACCAAAACCCTGTCCAAGAAGTGGCTCACATTGCAAATGGCTCACATCCAGGGAACTCTATATCTGTTCTTAGGGTATATTTTCTGTTCAAATTTTCACTCTTTTCTTTTGTTTGAACTAGTTTCCTAATTAAAGCAAAGCACTTTCAATGTAACAATATCCATAATGTACTCTAAGCGGCACCAATTTGGTACAAATAATTAATTTGCATATATGTTATTGGCATGGCGCAGGCTTATAACACAAGCCAGAACAATATGCTAATAATCCAAGAAAGCTGCATAGACTCCTCCGGCTGCCTAGTGGTGTACAGCCCGGTCGACTTGCCGTCCATCAACATGGCGATGAGCGGCGAGGACCCCACCTACATACCCCTCCTCCCTTCCGGTTTTACTATCGCACCCGACGGCAGGTCGGGCCGGGGAAATAACAATAACAGCAACACAATAACTGATCACCCCTTTCAGCAGGCATCATCATCATCAAGTACAATCAACAATCCGGGTAGTACCACTGCCACTGCAGGTGCAGGCGGGGAAGGCGGTGGGTCTCTTATCACAGTTGTGTTTCAAATATTGGTTAGTAGTTTCCCGTCGGCTAAAATGAGCCCCGAGTCCATCGCCACCGTCAATAGCCTCATCGGAAACACTGTTCACCAAATCAAAGCCGCCCTGAATTGCTTTGGTAACCCCACCCCAGCTTAGCTTCCTGAATTTCCTCATGTTTAGACTGCCTATTCCCTAACAACCATAAAGTTTCTCCTTTTCTTTACAAACCCATTCTTTTTTTTTTCTCTTTCAAGTTTCAAACCCTAAATCCTAGGGAAAATTTACTGTTGGAACGTCCTCCTTTTTTACTTTTACCCCAAATAGTTGAATGCTCTAACATTAAGTCCTCAACTCCATCTACTATTCCAAGGGATTGATGACAGAATGTTAGGGTGCATATATACGCCTAGCTAATTATATACGGAGTAGTTGTACGTGGAGCTAAGAAAGCCTAAGTTTCGACCCGAATCCAAACCCGACCATCTTCAAAATTTATTGAACCGGCCAGGGGACTGTAAGTGTGCATGGAGCCTGCTGCTAGTGTCTTTAAAGACACAACAGTACAGTTTCTAGTAGCTAGCTACAACAAATACAATGGTACAGAAAGGAAGGCTGGCTACATGGCTGTTGAATTGAATGAGGCAGATCAGATCAGAGAGAGTTAAATTAGGGTTAGTTGGGAAGCTATGAATGCTGATATGGTCCATGAATGAAGAGCCAGACGCTGCTGCCTCTCGCAGTCAATGCCATTATCGATCCTCTCTTTCTAGCTATAGCTCCTTTATCATTATTACTCCGTATTACTATTGGGAAGAATTAACTTTTTGTGGGAATTTTTTATTTTTTATTTTTTGAGCCATCGTTTTTATCTTAAAAAGGGAGTCAAGAACGCACCATATATACATTTACTTCTTGCTGTGGTCCTCTAGCTAGCATTCACTTCCTCCTGCCTTGAATTTTGTTTCGGCAGATCAGTAGTCACTGTCATAGTTTAAGCATACACAGCAAGGATGATATTATTGTATGGTTCGGGTATTGACTTCTCTTAATGAAGTGAACTTTCATCTTTTTACCACGGAGTAGTATTTTTATTACTATGATGATATAATCATGTACCAACACTTGATATGCACTATTTTTATTGTTATTTTAGTATTGTTTGATTGTTGTTTTTAATTGTTTAGTTTGTGATGTACTCTCTAGATTTAGTTTGTAGGTTGTGATTTGTATTTTTAGTGTGTATTTTGTTGTAAGTACCATAAGGGGTGTATTATAGGTACCAAAGGAAGACAAAATGAAATGTGAAAATAAATTCTAGTATGAAACCCGGTTGGGTTGGAACACAACCCAACCAACCCGGTCGGGTTGGAACACAACCTGGTCGGGTTGGAAGTGACATATGAAGCCAAGAGGAAGCTACATGCCGAAACCCGGTCGGGTTGGTACAAAACCGGTCGGGTTGGGTTGATATGGACAATAGAACATGGTGAAGGTCAAGAAGACGAGGAAAATATATGATTTGATATGTAACCCGGTCGAGTTTGAGTTGATATCGATCAAGAAGATGGAGTATATATTACTCACATTACCTAATCTAGGTAGTGTGCTCGCTTGAGACTTCCCGCTATGGTTCCTCCATTAGCTCCTGAAGTAGTGTTACTCCCCTGTTGAGGACAATGGAACTTCATGTGTCCCGTATGCCCACAAAAGAAACACCTTTTTGGTTCACGACATTTCCCGTAATGGTATTTATCGCAATTATCACATCTTCGTACCCAGGAACTTAATGATTTCTCTTCTTGGGACACGCACCCTTGATTGTACGTTAACGGTGGCGTGGGCATTTTAAACCTCCCTCTACCCCAATACTTTGCCTTTTACTTTGATCATGGGAATCATTGATTTCCCAGATCATCTTTTTAACCACTTGAGCATCTTTAGCTTTTCTTTCTTCCCCCATCTCTTCCCCGATGAGGCATTGTGTCACCACCTCATTAAAGGTCATGCTCTTTTGACAGGTCGCCCTCTCACGCACCTCCAAATTCAACGCATTTCAGAAGTGGTTGATCATACGGTCCTCATTCGTCGCATACTCGGGAAGAAATCTAGCCAAGTCTCGAAACTTTTGCTCCAATTGTTTGATTGTGTACTCCTCACCTTGTTTGAGGTTGATGTACTCCCTCCTCTTTTGATTTACTTCAAAGGAAGAGTAGTATTGACCATAGTATTGTCCCATGTGACGACTCCGTTATATTTCCCCTTGACACCATCCCACTATGTTGAAGCCAATCCCTCCAACACTCTAGTGGCTACTCGCATCTTAAGGTTTGACGTCAATTGCATATCGTCAGCTACTTCATTAAGCTTCTTAACCCATTCAACAGCCTCAGATATATCGTCCGTTCCATCAAACGGTTTACATCAGAGTGCTCTTGCCTCTTTAAGATACTTAGAGAGTAGTTAGAGACACTTATAATAGAACAATAGGTACTTTGACTTCTAGTATTATCCATACGTGTAGCATCGTCCCCATGCATATTTACTTTAGGTAAATTATGTAATAAACCTTGAAGAATGATTTATGAATTTGCGTAATTATAAATTTTTATTATTTCTTTTACGTGAATAGTAGATTGCATGTGGGGCCCATGCCGGGACCGGGGGGGCGCCCGATAATTCCCTAACCACATATTATATTCATCTTGGTCTAGATGACATCTATATGGAGGTGGATATTTTATTTGGGCCATAAGAAAGGCATGGAGTTGACTGGTTGGTCAAACGGGGCCCAATTACCGGTATTGGTAATTTAGCGGATAACAGCCCGAAGTGAGTTTCGGAGACTCCTAAATTAATGTTGGGGAATGTACGTCTATTCTAAAGGCCCATAATTATTGGGAACACGTGATATATTTTATTTGGTCCGATAAAATAAAATATGATTAAAACGGACCGAGAAATACAACTTTCGGGGCCGAGTGTACACACCGGGACATAACGGGATGACCTCCCACCAAAGTGGGGGCCACCCCACGGTTTTATGTGCTCCATTTGACTGAATGGGAGCTGGAAGAGACAAGGAAAAGGGGCTGGGGTCGAACTATAGGAAGAGGGGATTGATTGAGACCAAACCCCATGTCCTACACATTAATCGGCCTAGAACGGGGATTGATCGAGGGGCTTAATAAGGGCAACTATTGTAGCACATCACAAGGTGAGGATGTCTGACTATATTGCTTATAATTAGTGAGTTAATTTCATAAGATTACCTAAGGTAATTAAATGGGATTTTCATGGATTATTAATGATTAATAATGCCTAAATGAAAATAATATTGATATGAGTAAGTGAAGCATGATATACAAATTTAGAATAATTGTGTATGATTATGTAAAATGAATGGAACGGCATGTTAATGGAATTAACTATGATGACATTGTGATAAAATATACTTTTACTTCATGTATGAAATTCATGAATGGATTAAAGTGATATTTTTGATATTAGGATCAAACTATACTTGGGTTGGAAAATCAATTGAAATGAAATGTCAATTGGGAAATAGGAACTTGGCATGTTCTAAGATTATCCAACTAGTATCAAAATACTAGTCGGGGGATTAATATAAATAAATGATGAAATAAATCCTAAGAGGTAGGATTGTGAATAGATATGCCTTAAGTAGTCTCAAGAGATACTTTAAGGTTGAATTGTATGAACACTAAGGTGTGTTAGGGGTAGGCCTAAAGGCTAGCCAAGGGAATTGATTCTAGCCATAGGATTTGCTTGAAAATTGGATTATGAAAATAATTAGAGTTGGACTCTAGGATGACATGGAAATGTAGTTGGGCCGAGCCCTTGCCATGTAATATGATTAGCATGGAAACGTAGTTGGGCCGAGCCCTTGCCATGTATTTGTGATCTTCGTGGAAACGTAGTTGGGCCGAGCCCTTGCCACGAAGTTATGGTTGGTATGGAAACGTAGTTGGGCCGAGCCCTTGCCATACAATTTTGATGTGTTATATTGAGTTAGAGGATTGTATAGAAATGTAGTTGGGCCGAGCCTTTGCTATACAATTGGGGCTCGATGGGACCCCACGGGGTTATCGTGACTTGTGGTCACGGGGAAAGGGAAATGATGAATTCTAAACGAATATGGGCCACGGGCCGACTACTTGACTTCATATAAAGTAAGTATGATTTAAATAGCAAAAAGGGGTAACCGAGGGTTATGGCCTATAATGTAATATCACCCTGAATTGAGGGTCTTAGAAATTTAAACATTGATTATACTTGGTATAGTTGCTATTGTACTTGTCAAATGTTTCCAAGTACTGACCTCCCCTTCACGGGGGAGGCCACCTCACAGTTTCAGGTAGAACTTGAAGGTTGCTGCCACCGCCCGTTGCTTCGGGAGGATCGAAGGGAGAAGACGTGGTTCGTGCTTCTTCCGCCTCCGTTTTGAAAACAATTTAAATAATGCTCATGGATAATATTTTCTGAATAATTACTTTGGGGGCTTGCATGCCTGATTATGCCAAGTGTGGCTTGAACACTTGTATCAACTATTTCCGCTGCTTTAATAAATGTTTTACATTATGTTTGTTTATGGATGTACTATGTGTGAATGGTATTCAAGACGCCTTGTATAGTATGGATGAGTCGGACTGCGGTTAACTATTCGTACATGTGTCCTCTTCTTATTAAATCAACATCTTTTTACTTGGGAACCAAGTATTGCCTATTCTAGTATAAATATCACCTTCCAACTTGTGGAAAGGGATGACAATGTATATTCTCTAGATGTTACTCTGCAAAAATATCTACATGTACTTTCGGATCAGTTCTCTCTCATTTTACTTGGATTCCGATCATCCCCCGGTCCGACGATCTATCATTTTTTGTGCTTTCATTGAATCAGGTCAGATCCTTCTACTTTTTCCTAAATCTACAGTAATTTTTCCTCCTTGACAATGGCTGGAAAGAGAACTACGAGAAACAGACGTGTTGCTGTCACCGTCGCTCAAACTGAGCCCTCGCTAGAAGCTACTGCTACTTCCGGCGCCAGGAGGCCCGCTAGGGGAAAGCAAGCCGCTGAGGCTTCTGCTGATCTGCGTAGCCAGATCCAGCGTACTTTCCTAGATCTCTATCAACAAATATTGATGAATCACGATGCAACGACAATGCCACCCGCTCAGGTGATCCCACATTTCCAGAATCTTCTGATGGTGGATCCCTCTGCGGCGGTTGGAGCCCTCATCTCAAGATTGTAGCAGGCACTTCCCGTGCTGCAATCCCAGGCAGCAACTACTGTGGCTCCTCATGCCATCAGGCCCATCTCGCCGGCGAATTCCAGATCCCAGTCTCTGAGGGTGGGCACCATTGATGCCCCTCTGGTTGTGTAGAAACCAGCACAAATGGTCTATCAATCTCCCCCTCGCTAGAGGGTATCTCCGGATATCAACTCTCCCCCGATCCGCCAGGTGGCCTACGCAGCACCTGTGAGCAATGCGCCTCTAGCACAGCAGGCGGGAACTTCCCGTCACGCTGTGGCACAACCGAGGATGGCTCCACTGCCACCTCCCACATTGCCGTCAAAATACACGGCACGCCGAGTTGACTACGACTGCCACAACGACGAAGGTGTTTACGCCGTTACTACAGAGGACTCCTCACGGAGTCACAGTCCTTCTCCCCACAACGGAAACAACAGGACGACAACCCCAATCCCTGGGTGGAAGTGGGAAGGCGTCCCATCTTCTCCCGATTGGGGGATAGATCTACGGCGAATCAGGGCCTGTCTGTCAACATCCGGGGGATCATCCGGGCGAATTCTCCAGTTCTCAACATCCCTTGACAGCAACACCAGCAACAACCTGGGAGAAGGACTCGAGAGCGTGTACCCGCTTTGGAGAGGCTAGGGGGCAATCATTCTCCCAGATTCGCCCCCCCCCCCACGCTACCAGCAAATGCCGTCTCCCCTAAGACAGCAGCGTGCTTCTATACCGCGCCAACAACAGCAACAACCCTTGCGCCAGTCAAGGCTCTCACCGCCAAGGCGGCAGGTTGAATCTCCACCACGGTGCCAAAGCCAGGTGGACTTACCCTTGGGAGGACCAGATCCGCTTCCTTACACAACAGGTCAATGAACTGAGGACTGC